GCAAGGGATATACAGTTAAAATGAATTAGCATGCTTCTTATAGAGTGGAAAGACGCTACTTTCTGGGAAAACCTGCCTTGATGTTTAATGGGACAGTTTCTAGTCCCATCTGCTTTCATCTTAGGCAATACTACAGCTCCCTTATGGTCCCACAAATGGTTATTTTACTTGCTATTCTACTAATTATAATCACATTTTTAACATACACACAGCATTTTAAAACCATCATTTTTCAAGTCTATCAGAGAGAATATTATTTACTCAGCATACTTGCTGGAAGAAGAGTAAAAGTGAATAAAAGATATAGTGGAGCAAAAGTCTGTTGACAGGACCACCTGGTCTGTAACTTTTTTCTTATTTTAACTTCAGAAATGAAAAGGACTATAAAATGAAAAAACAAACAAAAAAGGCATATAAGAGTGGTGAACTAGGGAAGGAGCAAATTCCTTTTTTTCATGTGCTAAAAAGCCAACCTTGATAAACTCAACCTAGGGCCTAGAGCTAAGAACTGGTTAATGCCCCACTTGGAAGGAGCAGGGTTCTTGGGATGGTCACTGTTAAGGATTCTACTGGAGGGAGACTAAATTCTCCAAGGAAATTTAAGACAAGGAAGGCATGGTTCTATCTGCCTATTATAGCTTAAATTTGAAGGTTCATCAGTGGCAAGCTCCAACAAATAAAATACAAAATAACATTTTTTTTGCTGTAACTCTACAAATTAAGTCTTACCAAAAAAAAAAAGATTACATGTCTTTAAATAAGAAATCCTAAGAAAAGGCAACAAACCTCTTCCCCACAAGACACTTTAAACATAAAAATATGACCTCATGAAGGTATTCACCTAAGTATCCAAATACATTCCCAAAAAAGTTGACTAAAGGAGATGACTGCAGCTCAGATTACAAGTTTTGTTTAAGGTATAACTTGATAGTTAGAAAAGATGAAGGATAAAAGGGAATCTTCTGGTAGTTTGTTGCCGAGAAAGCAAGCTCTTTCCTTCACAATATACGTGTTCTTGGCAGGAATGTTGTGAGAATTAACAAGGGAACATGTGCAAAACATTCTGAGCTCTTTGAAGAAATGTAAGCGTTCTCTAGTAATCTGAAGGTGTGATATACTTTAACTCTCACATTCTAACCAAAAGCAACCTGGGACTTGGCAGTCTTTGCTGACTGTAGATATCCCCGAGCGCTACAAAGCCACACACACCTGCACTTAATTTTTCTCTCTTAAATACCAAAATGATCAAGGTGCCATTATTTTTTTCCATCTAAAGATCACCGAGTTTAACTGATAATGCTATGTGACTAAAAGCCAGCATCTTAAGCCTTTCCCACCAAGCTCACAAACACGAACTGATCTTTCATTCGCCACTACTGCTGCCTTTTGCAATCTGCTCCTTAAGACTCACAGCTACCACAGAACAATTTCTTAAAGGGTCTCCTCCCCTCTCTCACTTTTGATGGCTACAGGCCCACCATTCTGCACTGCTGTCCACCTCTCTAAATTACAATACCCTCTGATCAAACAGTAGTCACCTGAGATACAAATAGAGACACTTATCAACCACTCAGGCTACATTCATTCCTTGACTTATTAATAATGGATCTAATGCTAACCTTTAGATCTAATTTGCAAAGTACTAAAAAGAAAATGACCTGTGTACTGAAGAGGTCACTAACTTTTTTTAAGTGCATACTCCCATCTAAGACACTTGGCCATGTACCTTTAATATGTATTTGTATGTGTATTTGCTGATTTTAAACTATACATATGGGCTAATACATAATTATGAAATTAATCTGCGAAACAGAAATTTTAAAGGGCTGAGATAAAGAGCTTTTATGATTTTCTCTCCATACCTCACAGACTGTACCTTGTATGCCCTTCTTCAGAGACCGGTGACTTAAAGAACTTTATTCTAGCCTAAGTATCCTTTTTCTAACACACATCATTATTAAGCTGGAGGCTGCTTTAGGTCCAAACTTATATGGATAAATTGGCTGGGAGGGAGTCAGTAAGATCTAATCAGAGAGCTTTACTCTATGGCTCCTAAAAAATGACACTACTGTAATTTTTTTTTAACATCTTTATTGGAGTATAATTGCTTTACAACGGTGTGTTAAAGTAATTATTTACTATCAGCTGTGCCTGAAGCCCTGTGCTCTGGAAGATCTCTAGGAGAGCTACTGTCACTATGTCCCTTGAGGTAGAAGGACCAGAGCATGTGTTAGAGGCATGAGTCCTATTCTTGAACAATCTAGACACCAAGAATACAGGAACACTTCAGCAATGTAACACTAAAAAGTGTTCATTCATAAGAAAAATGTTCAGAATCCCCACCATGAGCAACCTGCTGATTTTAGGACAGAGAGAAAGATGGAGACAAAGACACTCAGCTTGTGGTTCTCAAATCAAATCATGTAATTTACCTCTGAAAATCAGGAAGCTCTGTCCTCTAGAGTCAGGGCCATTATTTCAGGCTAACTGGGGGAGCCTGAGGGAGCCACTGACCGGCTACTTGAGAAGGAGTACAGCAAGCTGAACCTGATGACCTTTAATGTTCACAGTGAGAAATCTCAACTTTCCTTCAGGCTTTCTAGGAGATGACCTGTGCATTGCATTAATTTCCTTCCACGCCAGAAGCTCTCAATCTTTTCCTAGTTAAGAAGGATGTATTCACCTAAAAGAAGGCCTGGAAATGTGTCACTGAGAGCTCAATGTCCCACTTATCATTTCATATAAGGAGACTTTAAAACATTACCTTCAGTTCCTACTATAATACCGACATGCAACAAAGAATGGGATCAACATAAAGCCAATTAATGAAACTAGGCATGGCAATGCATTCTGGTACTTCTAATCTAACTCCTTTCTGCCTAAAATACCGATTGATGTGTTACCAACACTATCTAATGATTGGCCACTGTATACACATTATCTTTAATGGTAAGACAATATAATAGCAGCTACCATTACTGAAGATCTATTATGCAAGCTTTACGTGTATCATTTCTTTTCTTACATCAAGCTATGAGATTTATCACCTCATTTTACAGATGAAGAACAAATTTTGAGATATTTACTTAAAATCACATTTTGTAAGGGGCTAGGCTAGGATCTGAAACAAGCTCTGCTTCTAGAATTCTGTTCCAAAAACTATGTCACTACCTGCTATAATTCCAAATCTGTGTTTCTCTTTCTCCACATTTCATTCAGTGATAGGCTTTGTACTGTCCGGTTAGGAGCATAAATAATTACGATAAAATATGGTATGATAAGCAGTAATATGATATAGTGAAAAGCAGGCTTTAGGATCTGAAGGATCTGTGTTCAAGTCTTGACTCTATTACTTACTAGTAATATTACCTCAGGAAATATATTTAAATTTCTGAGTGCCTGTCTTGGTTAACTGTAAAAGAGGAATAACTATCTTGCAGAATTGTTCTGAAGATTAAATATGCATGTATGTAAAGTATACTGAATGGTGCCTGGTAATGTAGTAAGCATGCAATAAATGGTATTAGTATTTTTAGATACACAAGATAGTATGGGAACAGAAAGGATGAAAGAGATCTGCCTAGAAGATGAAGGACACAAGTATATGATATTCAGGAGGGGTTCCTACTAGTTTCAGTGTCTAAGCTGAGCACACAAGTCTCTTTCCTAAATCGCTCAGGATGACTCAATGCGCTCGAGGCTCATGCCTTGATGATACCTGAACATGTCAGTAGTGCTAACCATAAACCCTGTCCTGAGGGCCAAAACTGGAAGGAAAAAAGAAAGACCAAAGTAACCTGTGTGTGTGTGAAGCGCTGGACCTGTAATCAAAGGGCTTGAGTGTTTTTTTAGGCTTCTGGCTGGAGTGGGTAAGAAGATGGCTCTCGGACTTCCCTCTGGCTAAGCAGGACGGTCTGTCTCACCCCAGGGCACAGTTCTCTTCTGTCTCAATCAGGAACTACCCAGTGGAGCTTGGGTACTGAGCACAGGAGGGATGGGAGCATGTCAGGACTATCTCACACAGCCCTGCCTCAAAACCGGTCATTTGGAACAAAAGAGTAAAATTAAAGTTCTTCAGAGTTCAATGCCTGGATGTTACTCTGAAACTGTGCAAGGACAGGCCTATTTGAGGTTAACATCAAAACTATGACCATTCAAAGGGGTTGAGGTCTCAGTGTGTCCATACACAGAAGTAGTTTGTGCTATTTCTGCTGGGGAGTTAAAAGGACTTTTTAAGTTATGAAAAATACTTTGCGACCTTTAGAAAAACAAAATAATTATTTTGACTCTTTCAAATATAATCCTTAAGATACTCTAAATAGCAGGCAGCATTACTTAAAAAGGCAAATATTGTCAAAAATAAATTAAGCTACAGAGTAAGGGAGCAATGGGCATTATGAGTGCTCTTTAGAGAGCTACAAGATTCATGGCTTCATGCTTAATACAAATGTCACAGATGCACAAAGGTTTTTTGGGGACTCCATGTATCTGAAAAGAATGATTTCAGCACACCCCATGGCTTTAGCACAAATGAAAGGAAATAATTTTCTAAAACTATTAGGACACTACACTAGTCAGTTAACCTGATTATCTGTACTACAACTTCTTTTACCCTCCAGCCATCATTATTTAAATAATGTTTTTTTAGTAGGTCCACGACTTATACAAATTAGCCACATGCTAGAAACTGGGCAATGATTTGCATTTTCTGTATGGTTTAGGTCTTAATAACATTCTTCAGACATGGGGAAGTAGGTAAATTCTGATGTCCACCTTCTTGGTTCTAGCTGCCAGCATTAACTCAGTGAATCTGACCTCCAAGAGCATCACTCCGACCTCTGCTCACACCCCACTCCCAATACTAAGCACATAATACATCACTTCACAAATCATGGAAGAAATTAGAGCATACTCTGGCAAGGACACCGCATTAAAACCAGTAGCTAATGCCTGTGAATAATTCAGGTAAGAATGAATCCAGATAAGAATGATGTACGTACCTGTACCACAGGATCTTTTGGTTGGTGTGATTAACGAGACATGAGCTGTATCTGTGCATGGCCCACCTGGAAACAGAAAGGCAGGTACATCAGTTAGGACATATCCTCCACATACCCAGAGCTCCTACACTGGATAAAGAGGAATCTAAAAAGGAAGGGATCAACCTGTAAATATGCGTAAGGAGGGGTATTAGGAAAGATGAAGGTGGTGATGGTAGTGGTAGGTTAATTCTTAGTTCAGTAATTTAGTCTACAGGTCCATATTCTTTCTACATTATAACATGCTTTTCATAAAAAATAATCGAGTCTCACATAATGTTAAGACATTAAAGAAAAAAATTTTAACTAGAATTCTGATCTGGGTAAGAGTAAATTACCCATAAGTTTGGGGAAATGAGTTTTTCCACACAGAAATAAGCAGGAGTACTCCTTCTCAGGCTTATCTCAGTGGTCACCCTACCTTTGAATTTATTGCAAAACTGGCCTTATTTAAAGTGGGGGGGACTCCCTGAAGAACAAACAGCTTGTCTGAAGAAATAAGGATCACTATAATATTTAAAGACAGCACTGCTGACTAAGGAAGAATATCTAGTTTAATTATAAAAATATGATACCAAGAGAGCCTTCATGCAATCTTTGTGGGCCCAGGGATCTGATGGATAGGTATAATTCAAGAATATGCAAGAGATATAGTCAGTCAGTGGGCGAAGGCTTGAAAAGCAGTAATTTCATTCTACAGAATAAGGACCACCAAAAAATTCTTAAGCTGATATTGATATATACTCCAACACATCCAATCAACTATGCCCTACCTACTGAAATAGGAAGTTACTGTGTAAACATGGAGACCTCTGGTTTTTGACATGCCCTGGGAGGGGCAGTAGTGATGGTCATCAAGAAATGGGACACACAAGAAAAAAAAAAAAAAAAGGCGCAGTGCTTGAGAGTCTGCCTACCGTTGCAGGAGACGCGGGTTCGTGCCCCGTTTCGGGAAGATCCCACATGCCGCGGAGCGGCTGGGCCCGTGAGCCATGGCCGCTGAGCCTGCGCGTCCGGAGCCTGTGCTCCGCAAATGGGAGAGGCCACAACAGTGAGAGGCCCGCATAACGCAAGAAAAAAAAAAAAAAAAGAAATGGGACACACAGGCAAATGTTACACATATATTTTGAAAAAGCTCCCCAGGTGACTAGAGCAAAGGGAACATGATTTCTTAGCATAGTTTTATGTCACCTATGACAAGACCTCATATCACTGAAGTTACTCATCAGAAAGGAAGGAAAGATGAAAGAGCTCAGAGACCTGTTCCCAGAGTTTATGCCACCAAGATCCGTGGGTTTTGGAACCTGGTGATCCCACCTAAGAAGTTCATCATTAGTCTACTCTTTCCTATACCAAGGCTATAACAGCAGCAAACCTTAGTGGGTGTAAAAAGACACAGAGGAGAAATGGGAGGAAAACCAAGTAAGTGTGTTGTTAATGTCAAAGAGCACTTAGCAAATACCTAGTATGTGCCACCACAGGTTAGTCTCATGCTCCGGGGCTTATAATCTTGTTAGAAAGATAAAATCTGTTTACTTAAACAAAGAACAATACATGACAGCAAAAAAGAGCTGGATGTGAAATGATCAACTGCCAAAGAATATGGAACAAGTAATAAATGCTAAATGTAATCAGGAGGAAGGATTATTCATCACTGGCCAGCATCACGTGGAAATACTTCTCAAGGATTTGAAAATGAGGCAAGAATAAATTAAAAATTAGAAAGACCAAAAGAACAGGGCATTTCAATTGAAAAATTTTCTACAAATGTCACATTCACCAGAGAAAGCTTAACATACTAAAATTCCAGAGGAGGCCGAAATGGGCACTGGCGACATAAAAATAAATAACATGGAGAGACAATGAGCTGCAAGAAAACCTAATACAGACCCCACCTCCTCGAACCCCTCTGGGCACTGGCTCTGTAGCTCCATAAAATGTTATAGCTTCTGCTTCCATGTGTGATTTTTTTGTCTTTTTTTGGTTGTTAAATGAATCATTCTTATTTCCGGGAACGTAAGTAGTTAAGTTCTCCAACTATTCTTTATTTAGTGAGTAATCCTGGGTAAGTGATCCTTAGTTTCTTTAACAAAAAAATGGGGATAGTTAAAATTGCCCATAAGCCACAGTGTTAATGAGATCATCTGTACAAAAAGACTTCATAAACTATAAAGCCTTATGTTATGTATCTTCACTTTCTCTCCCATGAGGTTTTATGCACCCAAGGGTCAAGACTCACTTTGTCATCTACTCTTGGGTCATGACTGTATGGACAAAGGGCACTTAATAGTGTTCAATAAGTGACCACCGCAAGCCACTTGATTGAATCAGTAATGTACATTTTTTAAAAACCCTTTTTTACTGAGGTTTAACATAAAGAGAATGAAATACTAGAATGAAGTGCACAAATCTTAAGTATATATACATTGAAGGATTTTAACATATATATAATTGTGTAACAACCACCAGATAAAAATACTGGAACATTTCTGGAATCCAGAAAGTTCAAGCGTACATTTTTAAAAAGATTCCCAAATCTTGACTCTGGAAATTTGGATGCAATAGGCTGGGGTGCGCATAGGAAGAGATTAGTGTACATTTTTAAACCAGCTGAGCACGATGTACATATTAAGAGCCCAGTTAGTTCCAATCTCTGGTAACACTTAACTCCCAGCTCAATATATGGCGAAGATCACTGAGCTCACACAACATCGTGAGCCACACAAAACACAAGCATCAATAACAGCTAAACTATCAGAATATTTTTTTAAAGGACATAAAATAATTCATTCAGTAAAATTATAAGAGCAGAGAGAAACTGGTTAAATCAAATCCCCTAAAGAAATTTGGTTGGGACTCATGAATTAACACTCCCATGTTTACAAATGCAATCTTTACCTCATTTGTAGGTTGAAAGTTTATCTTTTTGAAAATTCCTAACGAATGAATTTCTGTAGGTTTTGGCAAATACACAAATAACTTCAAGGCTACCTAGCATATCTCAACATGCATCATCATGAAAGTGTTCTCCAGAGAGCTTGTTAAACTAACAACCCAATCCAAAGTATTCACTACATTATAGCAAAGTACAAACAGAACCATAATTGAGCCAAAACAAACTGACAGCAAGAGTAACTGGCAGTGATAACATATCCCAGCTTTGATAATTGGACAATATTATAAACAGAGAGCTTGGAATTAAATTTGATCTGGTAGACTATAACCCATGAAACTCTTTAAACTCCAGAACAGATGCACATGAGCACTGTACATATATTCTATATACTAATTGTGGTGTCATATAAAATTCCTATACTCTCAAATAAAAGGAGTAACCACAGGAGATTAAGGTATCTACCCTTACACAATTAACTGCAAATCAACTCTGTTAAAATGAATGCAGGAGATTAAGGGCCACTCAAGGGGAACCTTTTCAGGTTTGAGTCCACAACAATAAAAATATAACATGAGTCCCATGTGGGTATAGCAAACAAAGTAATTTTGAGAGTTGATGGTAAGGGTCAAACTCAGGGCATCTGTTCCATCAAGGAATGGAGTTGGCTAATGTCTGAGAGGGGGGCTGGAGTATGGTCTCATAAATCATTGTAAATTCTGCTCCTATTTTTGGCCTTTCTTCCTCTTCTTTCCAAACAGAAGGGTAGACAGAGCTAATACCTGAAGAGTAGGATGAAGAAGTCTTTTCTTGCCTGGGTCCTACAGGTTAATGTAGTGATGTGTTGTGTTGTGCTGTGTTGTGTTGTGTTGTGTGTGTGTGTGTGTGTGTTGGGATCAAGACTGGAAGGCTGGGAAAATAAATGCATTTCTTCTAAGCACAGAATGATTCACACCAGTACCCTCTATCCTATATTAGTAGCAAGTGAGTCTGGAACAGTAAGTTTGGGGTTGTTAAATATTAAAAATAAAACCACAGTTAAGGTACCTTGCTTAATATGACAGACTCTCTGGGAATTCTGAACCAGACAATATCAAGATTAACTCATCTAAACTTTTAGCCCATCACCATGAGTGTTTGTTGCTTTCTTTTGCTAAAGCAAAATTAAACATGTCAAAGTTTTTCAAGTTTCTTCATTATCTGAAGATACTTAATACTATCATTTTTCATTTGATATTACATTCAGAACTTTTTCCTAAGTTTCAACAATTCAGAGTCTGGAATCTGCAAGTAAATAATGTGTGTGGTACCTTGTGGTTTGTATTCTGTAAGTCTGAATACTCTATCTTGTCTTTTAGGGATGTTTCTATTCTTGTATTAAAGGTGTCATACATAATGCAGCACTATGGATCACATTTGCAATTCCACGTGAGAGCCATGGAATGAAATTCTTCAGCTGTATTCCCAGCAACTAGAAATCTTTACAGCCTTTGCAACAGGGTAGTGGATTTTCTTAGGGAACCAGTACTGATTTCAGCCCTGTAAAGTTGAAGACAGGGGTCAAATCTGCATACTAAAAGTCACTGTAACCTGCAAAACCAGAAGGACTGAATAAAGGTATCCCGTCAACTATCAACATTCACATTTCAAACCAAAGTGGCAGGAACTTTTTTCAGCCTCCTATAGAGTTAGTTACTGAGCATGTCAAAAAACACTGAGCTACCATAGTAGTCAATCCAACTGACTGGTTGAAGACTATGACTCAGGAGAAAGACAAGAACACAGGTATGGAGGGCGGCTGCATTTATGCTGGTTATCATCTTAGGCACTCAAAATCTTAGGCTGAGTAAATATAGAAAAACAGTATTTCTCCTTAACCTTGAAAACAGAGATCAACAATCTACCCAGAAAGGTTTCGTTAAAAGAGCTGTGATGGGGCTTCCCTGGTGGCGCAGTGGTTGAGAATCTGCCTGCCAATGCAGGGTACACGGGTTCGAGCCCAGGTCTGGGAGGATCCCACATGCCGCAGAGCGACTAGGCCCGTGAGCCACAACTACGGAGCCTGCGCATCTGCAGCCTGTGCTCCACAACAAGAGAGGCCGCGATAATGAGAGGCCCGCGCACCGCGATGAAG